GAGAAAGAAAGCAGCCATCTTTTTTTCAATCTATTACTGACAGCAAACATTCCTCCTTACTAGTACTGATGATGTTATCTAGTTAGGGTAATGAAATGTCTGCAAGAAAACCAGCAAGCTCAGGGAGCACCAAGGACCCCTAAATAAATAAAGCCTCTGAATTATAAAACATCGTCAACCACCCCTCAACTTGGGTACCCCCCGTTATAATGAGATGTAATCAAAATTCCCAGGTTGGTCTAGACCGGGTGTTCTCAACCTTGGCAACTGGGGAATGCTGGATGGGGAATTCTGGGAATTGAAGTCTACATATTATAAAGGTGTTAAGGTTGAAAAACACTGAGGATATGAGAAAAGAACGGATGCTTCCCTTTTGCCACCTGCAGCTTTTATAAGGAAAAGTTAAACCATAGTTCATTCTCTTCATTCTATTTTATCTAATAATAATAACAACTGTGATGTGAATAGATAAACAGATCTGGGTCAAGCAAGAGAGACTATTTTAGCTTGATGAACTGGAAAACCTAATGTTAAATTCTCCCCAAATGGACATTCATCCAACATTGTAACTGTAGAACATCCCAGCATGCCAGTTGTAAGAAAATACCAGTCTCAGCTGGTCCCGCGTCTCTATCTCTACTTCGTTTCTGATGTATCATTGGCATGAATAGGGAATTACAATGTCTGATGGGATTATAAGCTACCTAACAGATAAAATAACATAGCAATGTTGCTTTTAAGCTGTCCTGTCAATCTTACCTCTTCCAACCTGGTTTGCTTTTTGACTCTGATGACTTCTTCCTCAATTTTGCCTCGTTCCATGAAGGCAGCAGCTTTCACTTGGCTCAATTCCTAGGAACAAGGCAGAAGAACAATGTACTGCAATTTCTGATCATAAAAGCAAATCAAGAAACTTGCAGTGGTCTGAACCTGGACATATTCCTAGAGAAGATCCAAAACCACCAAGAAAAGACTTCTCTATGGTTTTCAGGGAAAAACATCAACAATACTGGGAAGCCATTCCACTCACCTCCTCGAGCCCAATGCGGATGGTCTCCAGCCTTTGGATGCGCTCCTGTAGAGCATGTTCACTTGTCTCCATATGCTGAGTTAACTGTCCCACCTGCATGTCACACAACATTGTTCAGAGGATTTTTAACAGCACATAAATACAACTGACTGACACTAGCCTTTCTCTTTGGTAAATGGGAGACACACGAAGAATATTGGAGCAAACATAATTATTTATTCCACGAAACCTTGGGGCAACGTTTTCCAACTCCTAGCAAAAAAATCCAAACATACAAATGTAATATGAACCCATAGAATGGGTCATGCATGCATCCCTATCTATAGTATCTATCTATCTATCTGTCTGTCTGCCCGCTCGCCCACCTATCCATCTAATTTCTTAACTATCCATCCTCCTCAGATAAATAATGAAAAACCAGAGCCCTGAATTTTGAAGGATAATGACGATCCTATTGTAAAAAGGGAAACAGATTTATTTAGGACAGTCTGATTCCCAGAACCCTGAACTAAAAAAGAAATCCAACGAAGAGAAACATAATTGCCTTCCCTGGTCTCAGACTCTTGAATTTAGATGTGAAGCAATAGTGAACGTGTGCAATTATTTCTATGGAGCTAGGGGATTGGAGGCTCAGTAATGGAGAAACCATTTCCTGGCATCCTGACCAAGTCTTACAACACTCCCAAAGGACTTCCTTTATTCATATGGGCCAGGATGGAAGAGCTCAAGACCTTTGTAGGCAAGCCATAATTGCATCCTATCTTACAAAGAAGATGCTGAATTTATTTTCAGGTCGGAAAGCACATTTGAGTCAGATCCACTTCAGCCACCCCCTCTCTCCATGTAGGAATGCTAAAATTCCAACTGCCGCCCCACCTCCTTCACACGAAGGGATTCTGCATCACTCAGGATCTGCTTGAATCGCTTCTTTTCATTTTCCAAATGTTCTAGGGAAAAACAAAAGAGTGAGGTCCCCAATTCCTTTCATCTTTCTTCCCTTTTTGAAGGACTCCAACAAAGCCCTTCTTTCACTCAGTAGCTGAAGACTTGTGAGTTATGCTCACCTTCAGCCTGTACAGCTCTCAGTTTCATTTCTGCAGTTGTGTGGGTCAGCTCCTCCTTCACCTGGAACAGCTGCTCTTGCTGGATTTTACATCTTCTTTCCAGCTCATCCACCTAAAAGGAAATCCTACTCATAGTAGAGACAGACAAGCCCCCCCCCCCCCAATCTCTCTACAACAGGCTTTCCGTAAAGCCCTTAAAACCTGGTTGTTCCGACAGGCCTGGGGCTGACGAGTTCCCCGCCCCCGCTCGAATTGTGTGGTTGTTGAGTGTTTTTTAAATTG